GCGCGGTGAGGCGCGGGCGCGGGGCGCGGACCCCGGGATGCGGACGCCCGTGGTGATGACGCTGGGCCTGGTGCTCGCGCCCTGCGGGCTGCTGCTCAACCTGACGGCCACGCTGGCGCCCGGCTGGCGGCGGGTGAAGGGCTTCCTCAACCAGCCGGTGGACGTGGAGCTGTACCAGGGCCTGTGGGACATGTGCCGCGAGCAGAGCAGCCGCGAGCGCCAGTGCAACCAGCCGGACGTGTGGGGCTACTTCGAGGCCGAGCCCGTGCGCGTGGCGCGGGCACTCATGGTCACGGCGCTGGCCACCACGGCCCTGGGGCTGCTGCTGGCGTCGCTCGGCGTGCGCTGCTGGCAGGAGGAGCCGCGCTTCCCGCTGGCCGGCCTCGCGGGCGTCGTGCTCTTCGCCGCCGGCCTCCTCAGCCTCGTGCCGGTCTCCTGGTACAACCACTTCTTGGCCGACCGCACCGTCCTGCCCGCCGACGCCAGCCCGGTCACGGTGCACGTCAGCTACAGCCTGGTGCTGGGCTACCTGGGCAGCTGCTTGCTGCTGCTGGGCGGCTGCTCGCTGGCGCTCAGCTTGGCGCCCTGGTGCGAGGGGCGCTGCCGCCGCCGCGGCCGCCGCAAGGAGCCCCCCGGCAGCCCGCGCCGCAGCAGCATCAGCACGGTGCACGTCGACTGGCCCGAGCCCACGCTCCCGCCCGCCATCAAGTACTACAGCGACGGCCAGCACCGGCCGCGGCCCGCCGAGCTCGGCGCCGCCCGCAAGCCCAAGGCCGGCTTCCCCATGCCGCGGCCGCAGCCCCGCGCCTTCAGCAACCAGCTAGACGTGCTCCGCGGGGAGGACGCCCACTCCCCCGGCGACTCCTTGGGCAGCACCGGGTCCTGCCACGCCTCGCTGCCCTGCGACTCCGACCTGTAGACGGCGCCCCCCCCCCCCCCCCCCGCCCCGCCAGGCCTGCTCTGGGCCGGTGATGCCCGGACCAAGGACTCGCCCTACCGTGTCCAACCTTGAACTTGCCTGTTCCCTTGCGGCTGGAAAACACCTGACGCGGAGTCCGAACCCGGGACGCGTTCCTGTAACTGGTTTGGAGGGTGATCTTCCTTTCTTGTGGCTAAGCTAGACTTCTTGGACGATTAGGTCAGGTTGGGTTTGGTTTTGTCTGTAGAATTTAGTTTTCCTCCCCAGAGGGATGAGGATCCTCTTACGGAGTGACGGGCTTTTCATACTCGAAGCTGAAAGAGATCTAGAAAGGGCGCCTTTGCATCGTGTTGACACGGGGCGAAAAGTCAAAATCAGCAAAAAGAGGCTCAGAAACCATGTTAACACCTTGAAACAGTGTCCGGAAACGCCAGCGAACCTTATTACATCAATATAATGTTTTTTTCGTTGTATAATTTATTCTCCTGCAGGCTCTCAAGAGACCGATATACTGGCTCTGTTTGACTGAAGCTCTTAAAATAAACGTAGAGCCATGCAAACACCAGCAGCTTCTGTGGCTTTTGTGGAATAACTTGATTAACTCTTATTTACATTTCTTCAAGTATACACAGGATTTATCTTTATTACTTATTTTTGGTGTGAAAGTTGAGGTCACTGCCGTTTCTCTCCTAGAAGCCAGGTGGGATTGAACAGACTAAACTCTATACTGCTCTATTCCTTGGCTACCTCACACTGGACATAGAGGACCATAAATTAAATATTTGGTACAGAATGGAACCTGTAAATCACATTAGGTTAAAGAACATGGGCATATATCTCTTACTTATAAAGAAAAGCTGAACACAAGAGTTTCAGTACACACACAAAAGCTTTTTTGTCTCCAGTACAAACTGTGGGAGTTTACTCATCATTACTAACAATTCCCTGGCTGCCTGGGCACTGTTTCTGAAATCTGGCACTCAGATCTTTGCCCCTCTTTAGCATAAGATTACTAAAAGGAGCCAACGGGCCCCACTTAAATCCCTGATTGCTTTATTTTCAAGTTCGTGCTCTGTTTTCTGGGCAAAGCCAAGTCTATTGTTGAAAAAACTAGAAGCACCAGTTTCCAACATGAAGTGAGACTGGAGATCTTTTCCTCTTGTAAACAGTGGAGCCTACAATCACAGGTAGGCAGCTCTGTGTTCCAGAAGTGGACTAAATCTCAGGCAGGGCCCGCTCTAATTTCAAAGGGTTGGTTGATTTACGCGTGCCTTTCACTGAGTTGAATTTCATCTTTTAAAACCTACCATTGGCAGCCAATGCAGAGGTAGGAACGTTCAGTTCAGTAAGCACCGATAACAGAGAGCTATAGCAGAACCGACTAAAGAGCACACGCTACTCATTAGCAGTGGAAGGAATAGTACAGATACACTATTATTTTTACACCGGAATCACCCGTTTCTACCTTTTTGCGACCAAACCCTAAAGTGCAGACATATCACCCGGTGATCTCTTTCAAATGCAAATTCTCATTGAGTAGGTCTGCAGTGAGGCCTGAAACTGATTTCCTAGCCCACTCCCAGGAGGGAGCCAGAGCAGATGGTTCCTGGCCCCCACTTGGGGCTGCAAGACTTTCCTTGGGACGTGCCTCGCTCAAATTGCAACCCCGACTGGTGGCAGAGAATCAGACCTTTGAGAGCTTGCCGCCTCGATGAGCTAGGGCACTTGTTCCAGGGAACAGAGCCAGATGGAGAAAAGGCAACCCTGGTTTCTCAGTTAACACCTCCAAAGGCAGGGATAGGGGTCTGGGAAGTCAGGACCTAGCCAACAACAAACAAAGAGACTGAGTTCCTAGCAAGTACCGAATCTACTGAATCTTGTCTGCGTGATAATTCCAAATATTTCTCAGGGAGGCCTGGGTAAAAACAAAACTAGTGTTTTGTGTGTTTTTACTTTTCCTCCCTGCCCAATTATCCTCTTGTGGCTTATATTCAGAACACTCCGCCTCTGCTGATTAAGGATTTGGTTGTCAAGAATGAGAGCTCTGGGGCGCCTGGGTGGCTCAGTTGGTTAAACGACTGCCTTCGGCTCAGGTCATGATCCCAGGGTCCTGGGATCGAGTCCCACATCGGGCTCCC